AATACTTATCTACCCATGCCTAGGGCACTAGTAGTGGAAGCAGAACTTTGACAATTGCAAAGTGCCGAGATTACCCCCAGTGCCGACATTCGCAGCACTTACCCTATGGTTTCCCAGTAGGGATGAATTGATTGAATGGTAGTGAAATCCTCATAGGCTTAACAAAAGCAGAGCTCATGGTGCATTTGACCGTCTACGATGTGAAGAGGCTGGAGTTGTATGCTAAGAATCTGGCTGACTATCATTTGTGCATGGACTTGCTGCCTGCATTGGCTCGTGTGTATTTCCTCAATCAAATGGGTGATGTCCATCTGAGTCCCGTTCAAGCGGTTCGTACAAACCCTTCTCGTTTCTGGACTCTTACTCGCTGAGATAAATTGATACCCATTCATCTTCTGATGACAGGGGATTCTGATGGGACTGGGACTCCAGCATCGAACTGTAGACGCCCTGGCCAAGGAGTTTGAGATTCCAGCAACACAGCTTCTGGGTCTGTTCAACCGTATTGTTCGCAAGATTCTCACCTTCCTCAATGGGGTGCTGGAGAAGGACCTGGAAGAGGCCCTGTCTCGCGTGAAAGAGCCAGAGATGCAACCCCTAGCCCTTAGCCTAGACCAGGAACTCAAGGATGCTGAGAAGGAGTTGAAGGAGAAACAAGGGAAGAAATTGGCCAATCTCCAGCTTGGGAGCCTTGAGCAGTTCAAGATAAAGGGATCAGAAGACGACTGGGAATCTGTCCTCGGCAGCAAACACTCTGGAATCGTCTCTGTCAAAAGGTATCTCGCCGCACATACTGGTTCTAAATATTTCCTTCTGCATAGACCTGTTTATTTTATTAATGGATTTTTATGAACAGTGGGGTCAAGAGGGCCTTGGGAAATGACACCAATGGACTTGGACTTGGAAACATAGAGAAGACCAAGAAGAAGAAGAAATTTAAGCCAAACCGAGGGAAAGGGAAGAAGAGATGAAGTTCAAGTCATGAATTGTTTTTGAACTCCTGAACCATGTTTCATGTTGCAAAATAAATAAAAAAAATATGAAAAAATATCACTTCTATTTGCATTTGTTCAGCCGGCTGTGTTGTCGCAGAAATGTCGGCAACAGAGTGATTTATGCATTCGGAAGGCAAGGCCTCTCCTTCCTCTCCCTTCAAAATATTGCTACTACCTGCTTTGAGCAGGTTTTTTTTGCTTATCGGATCCTGGCGAAGTGATGCCGAAACAAAGGATATCATCTCGGCATCGTTGCTGCAGCTGACAGACCTCTAAGACAATACCTTGGGGCTATACCTGGTATATTTCCAACATTTGAGACTGGGGACTTTTCATTCAAAGCCCATTGTGGGTAATTTGTAAATCGTTTATATCGGCTCTTTGCACCAGGACCGCATTAGCCCCGGGTGGCGCCCTCGGGCAGTGCATTGTGCATGCGCCTCATCCCCTCTCGAAGCAGTTTCTGATTTTGTCTGTTGGTTCGCCTGCTAATTGATATATATACATGTCTAGGCTTGCGTCCTCTCAGTTGCTGTGAATCTGAATACCAGTAGGTTTGAACGCGCGATTCAGCATGTTCATAAATGAAAATCAATAGGAGCCTGATTACGTAACGTGCGTTATCAGACTCCTAAGCCTGTCCTTGGGACTGGATCAAATATTGACGAAGCGGCAAAGAAGCCAAATTAACTTCCTTGATTTCTGTAAAGGTATTTATCCAGTTAAAAAATATTCCCTTAAAGTACTTTTATTACTTGTTATTTTGAGTGCCACTTCAGGCATAAAGACACTAACTTTTATTCCCCCTTACTATCAATTCACCTCGTTATACATTTTCTGGAATGATGGACGAGGCACGAGGGTAAAGGCAAGCTGCGTCACGTTAAAATACGCCGTTCGATCCAGAGGTTGAAATAAGTTTTTTTTTTTTTTTGGGGGGGGGGGGGGGGGGGGGGGG